GTTGTGAATTCAAAGCCAGCCTCAGGAATTTAGGGAGGCCCTAAGCAACTCAGATAGACCCTGTCTCTAAATAAAATATGTATTTAAAAAAGGCTAGACAAATGGCTCAGTGGTTAAGCACCCCTGGATTCAATTCCAGGTACCAAAAAAAAGAAAGAGAGATGGTATAAATCTGAGAAAACAGGTTAAAAAAGACAGAGATGATTGAAAGTGATTGATTATTGAGGTTGTTTGTAACAGTCCCCAAAGTGTATGTCAGTAATATTTTAGATTTTTTAATTAATGTGATAATAAATGCAAATATTTCTTCTTTAAAAACAGAGARCAAGATGTGATGGTGCATTTCCATAATCCCAACAACTTGGGAGGTTAAGATAGGAGGCTCACAAGTTCAAGGCTAGTCTCAGCAATTTAGTAAGGCCCTAAATACCTTAGTGAGACCCTCAAAATAAAAAAATAAAATGGGCAGGGATATAGTTCAGTGGTAAAGCACCCCTGGGTTTAATCCTCAGTACCAAAAAAAAAAAAAAGTAAGAGAAAAAAACCAGGTGGGTGGCACACACCTGTGATCCCAACTACTCAGGGAGGCTAAGGCAGGAGGATCACAAGTTGGAGACCAGCCACAGCAACTTAAGAAGACCACGTCTCAAAATAGAAAATGAAAATTTAAAAAAGAGTTAGGGGTGTGGCTCAGTGGGAAAGTGCCCCTGGGTTCAATACCCAGTACTTCTAAGTAAATAAATAAAGTAAGTAAAAGAGAAATTAAAATAAAAGTTTAGATATATCAATTAAGTCTTAACTTTCTCTTCACATTTATTCACATAGATTGGAAAAGAAATCAGAGAAATTTTTCCCCATATGATTTTGTGATTTAGAATGTACAGATATAAAAAGAAGCTAACAATCTTTCTAAGCATGTGAAAAATAAAAATTAATTCTGTTTAAAGAGGAATACAAGCAATTTAAATGACTTTCCTCAGATCTCTAATGTAACAATCTCTAAAACTGCARAAATAAATGTTTATATTTGAACAATTTAACTACAGCCCTGAAAAGCTGCTCAATGCCCAGAAAGTACTTCTTCAGCAGCTGGTACCTACCCTGGTTGAGAAAACAAGGCAGAAAATGAGTTGAAGATTCCTAGAATATTGTCTAGTGTAGCCTAGCTGCAGAACGCTCCTAAGGCTGTCACACGACATGTCTTCTAAAATGCTACCAGTAGATGCTGAATCACTCTTTTCTAGGGGATCTGGCTAAATTTTTTTATTTCCAATTTTGACCATTCTGAAGTAAAAGAAAAATTTCAAATTTAAAATTTGGAGTCTTTTATGGATRTATATTTATAGTGTTACTTATTTTAGAACCATGACTCTTCTTCAAACACTGTTTTGGCCTGGGAGACAGACACAGCGCTGATTTGCACATATCCCAAACATATCATCAACCAGGCCCTGAGCATCACCAGGCAGGTGTGCCCCTGGGGCCACTGAAGAACAAACACTATTTGTGAAATCATAAAACCATGGTCAAGTATTCTAGTGAACGTGATGCTGCTGCAAGTATAAGGAAATGGAGAACATTATCATGATGTTAGACATTCTCTCTCTTTTTTTTTTTTTTTAGATCCTTGGTACTTTTTCTTCAATTGTGTTCCTCTGTGAACAGAACTGTAGCAGTCTTGAAATTCAGCACAAGGCAAAGTCCTAAACAATATCAGACCAGACTAAAAAGCAATTGGGCTGAGAGAAGAAATAACTAGAAAAATATTAATGAATTTTTTTTTCTGTTATTTCCTTCAGGCCACATTTCTCCCCTGCAATACTGTCACAGCACTACCTAGTCTGGGAAGGAGGTTGGCAACACTGTTGGATACTCACTGTAGAAAACAAAATGATTTTCAAAAGCTAAGTCATGACGCTAAACTGCAAGTTACTAATGTCCAAAATGAATTCAGTGCACTAGTTTCTGTTGATATTTCCCATAAACTATTCCGGTTATTTTTCAATGAATCATTTCTGCTGAAAGAACCTAGAAATAAGCCAGAGTCCTTTTATACTTGGCTTTTTAGTTTTAATGCAACAATATTAAAATATAGAGAAAACATTCTCTATATTCCTGAGAAACCAGAGCAGTCACAAAATGTTTTTAAAAAAATGGCTTCCATGTGACATCATCGCTGGAATATCTCAGTTTGCACAAGTATTTGGGATGGACTTTAGAAACAGAAAACATTACTTGAGACTGATTTAGCTCACTGAAGTAATGCTCCCAACTAAAGTATATAAACTTATTTAAAGGGCAAAAATAAGTTTATGTACTTTATAACCAAATATAATGATTGCTTTATTACCCTAAGATACATTTTCAGATAACTGTGCCAATTCATTAGGAACCACAAATTGTATTTTGTTTATGCTAAAGATAACTCAAAATACATATATGAATAAATACCATTTGGTAAAAATAATCCTGATCATTTTTTTAACCTCCTGATATACAGAACAAAATTGCCTTAAATTTCTATAGAAAAAATATAATTGGTGTTTGTATTATTCTGCAATAAGCAGCCACTGTTATATTATTGCCACGAAATTTTTCCCATTTTCTCATTGCTGATGATGACATTGTTACAGGTAGTTACTCCCTACACTTCCTACTTTTCTTAGTCTCTCTCTGACACTAACCAATATGGATTAGTGAATATTTGAAAAAGKTATCTTCTTCCAGTATAAACTGATTCTTTTATAAAATATCTATTGTATACCCTCTATGAGTTAAGCTTTGGTTAAAGATTTTGGATGCAATGTTCATTAAGATAGATTTCTTCAGGTTCATTATATTAAATGAAATAATCCAGGCACAGAGAAATGAATACCATAATCTCATTCATATGTATAATTTAAAAAAAAGTTAATCTCATAGAAGTAGAGAGTAGAAGGGTAGTCACCAAAGGCTAGGGGTGTTGAGGGAAAGGAAACTGGGGAGACACTGATCAAAAAAGACATAATTACAGTTAGATAGGAGGATTAAGTTCAAAAGATCTATTATACAGCATGGTGACTATAATTAATGATGATATATTTCTTGGAAAATGCAGAGAATTGGTGTTAAGTGTTACCACAAAAATGATTGTATGTGAGGTAATGCATGTGTCAATTAGCTAGATTTAACCATCKMACCGTGTATAYATACTTCAAAACATCACATCATGCATGATAAGTACATATAATGTTGTCCATCAAGTTTGAATAAATAAATAAATAAATGGCAGGTTCCTTGACTTAAGAGTTCATGGTCTATTAAAGGCAAAAGACAACTGCGTTAAGATTTTCYACGCAGAGTAAACACAATGACACAGAAATATCCCTAGAAGGATCGTTTGAATCAAGCAGGAAGGTCAGCTAACAGTTGTATTTCATGTCATGAAATAAATCCACCTCCTTTATCACAAAGGTGATGCCCTAATACTGTCTGGTTTCCACTTCTCCATCTTGGCAAAGCACTGTTGATAGGTGAAGACAACGTCAAAATATCTCTGAGAATCACAGTCATAGTCCTGTTCCCATACTTCATAAGGTTCAGCATCACATTAGACTAACAACTAATCTAAGTTGGAAAATATATAAACAAGTCCAGTGGTTGTTAAGAATAGGCATGCATATACCAAGAAAAACATAAGCCATGAATTTACAGCCTGGTACATAAATACTGTATTTCTAGTTGAAGTTTTAAACCATATTATTACATCTATTTTTTGGTTGTTTACTATCTGAATAAAAGTAAGCTATCTGAAAGTATAAATGCTTACCATATTATGTGCTAAATTAGAAGGCAGGTTGATTAGATACAWCATAAATCAAGTCTTTTAGTTATGAAAACACACAAATAAGGCCTTCCTCTCCCCTAAAAAATTTACATTATAAGAAAAACATTTTTGAAGCTATGTGCATAACATTTAAAATGCTAATATGCACCCAAAAATAAAGACTTAACATACAGAAAAGCAGTGCATATGTACACTAAAATTTATAATTGGTGACTTGCTACTCATAGTGCCTACAGAATCAGGTAAAAGAGACTGAGTGCTTTAAACAATATATATGTTCTCACAAGTGCTTGATAGAAAATCAAAGCACATTCATGATTTTCTTCCAATACATCAGTCTTTAAAAGAAGCCAAAGACCAAAGACAACAAACAATATACAAGGCCCATTTGTGTATTCTGCTTTTATAAATATGGTCATTTTAACCTGAAGAGCCTCATTTGAAATGCAGGGCTACCCACATATTTGATATATACCATTTTTTCAGACCATCTGAAGGCCATTCAATTTCCCCATGGTCAGGGTGACCTCATAAGACTTGGGCATGGCCCAGCCTGGCTCAGAGGTGAAATCAAGGCAGCAAGATCACCCAGCAAAGTTGTTTTGCTCTAACAGCCCTGTGACATGAATGACCAAAGCCAAGGAGAATGAAGATTGCCCAGCCTTTGTCAAATGGAATTGCCAGTTCTCCTAATGACAATTCCCTACCTCACTAAGAAGCAGTTGCATTTAGCAAAAAGCTAAGGTACTACTGATTCTACATCTTRAAACTGTGGGTCTTCAGGCACAAACATACTGGTCATCTGTGTGGATTGTGGGATTGTTACTGAAACCTGGGTTTGAAATAACAGTTTTGAGAAGTTTGATCTATCCATTCCAACCTGGTTCTGTATGGCCTTAGAGAGCTGATACTTGAGGACTCCAGTGAATGTCCCTCCCCCACAGGCTAAACAGCCAGGGCCTCCAGAATTTCAGCTCAGACATTCATTTCTTGGGCAATTTTTCTCTTGGGGTGGAAAACAATGGACTCTTTCCATTTTTTTTTTTTCTTGTCAACAAAGGACTCTAAGATGAAGTCCTTTCAATTGCATCCTTTCCGACTTCTTTATAAATGACGAGTGGGCCAGGGGAGTGGGGGGAGCGACCGAGCAGGGAAGAGGTGACAGGCAACTCACCTCCTTCAGCTGCTCCAGCTCCTGTTTGAGGCTGTCGTACTCAGCCTCCAGCTCGTCATACTGCTGTTTGAGGGTCAGCTTCTCTTCCAGTACCACCAGCCCGTACTCAGCAGCCTGGATCTTCTCGTGGGTCGTCTCTGTGAGCTCCTTGGTCAGCCTCTCTATCTCGGTCTTATAATGGTCCACCGTCTGCAATACCTCTTCTGCGGCCATAGCCCCGGTGGATGGAGACAGGAGGGGGTGACCGGGTCCGGGAGATGGGTGCAAAGCAGGCGGGGAACGGGAGAAGCAAATGGGGAGGGAAAGCAAAAACGGAAAAGAAAAAGTGTGCCTGGGTGAATGAGCAAAGCAATACCCTGACGGCTCTGCTGGCCGAGGCAGCTACACTGCCCGAGAAATTGACGCGAAATGCAACATGGAGAATGTAGGCGAGAGGCTCAGGGGCGAGGCGGCAGCTGCTGCGGCATGTGTCCTCTGGGCCGGCCCCTGCGTGCGGTCAGCAGCGGTGCGGCATGGCCTGGGCTGCGGCGGCCGGGGGCGGCGGGGGGCTCCGGATCCGGTTATTCAGAGGCGCGGGGCCGCCATGTCTCCCGGCAGCGTCACTGCAGTCTCCCCCTGGGTCTAGCGCGCTCCGGCTCCAGGCTCGCTCGCGCGCTCCACCTGCTCCCTCTGGCCCTGCAGCAGCCGGTGCGGAATGATGCAGTCTCGGGCCCTTCCCGCCTGCCCTCGGCTCCAGGCAGGGGGCGGGGAGCGGATGGAGTCAGCGCGGGGGGGCGGGGGAGGAGGGAAGGACCAGACGGAAACGTCCCGAGGCGCCTCCCGCCGGGGCGCGCAGGCTGCCACCACTGGCTGCACCGCCCGGCGCGCGAGGCGGAGGCCGACCTGGCGGGGAGGCATCTGGAAGCTAGGAAAGCCYGGCGCCTGTGCCCGGCCCGGTACCTTCCAGAGCCTTGTCCCCTGAACTTCGAAGCCCCCGAGGGTGGTGTGGGCGCCCCAACTATCTCGCTGCCTTGTGGATCAAAGCTCAGGAAACTGCCTGGAACTGGTGCCTTCTCCAAGGGAACGCAAACAAAATCAACAAGATCAGGGCCCCCCCACGCAACCTTCTTCCCGACCGTGGGACCTCTGGCTCACTGTAACCTTTCCTAGCTTCCTACATCCTAACAAATGCTGCTTCCAAAGCTTCCTAACTGTGGCCCCTAAGACACTTGCCCTCCCTCAACCTCTTCTCCCTGCGCCCCCTCCCCCCCCCCAGTCTTGCCAAACTCGCCACTAAAGAACCTTACCATCACCCCTCAAGACAGGCTTCCCTAAAATTGTTTGTCCTTGCTGGGCGTGGTGGCACTTGCCTGTAATCCCAGCGACTGGGAAGGCTGAGGCAGGAGAATCACAAGTTTGAAGCCGGCCTGGGAAACTTGGGGAGATCCAGTCTCAAAATAAAAAGTAGAGCTGGGGATGGCGCTGGGTGGTTTAAAAAAAAAAAAATGAGTTCAATTCCCACTACCCAACACACACACACACACACACACACACACACACACACACGATTACTTGCCTTCAACCAACCTTTTCTGGTCCAGTTTATCACAGGATCATTGTCTACTCTGGAAAATACCATTATAACCCATGTACCAAATAAGCCTTTAGGCACTATTTCCTCTCAATGGTTCTTCCATCGAGGCACCTTACTCTATTTCATTAAAGAATGAAAGAAATGTCCATGAAACTCCCTTTACAAGCTATCTATAATACCCTACAACAAACACTGTAAATATAAGGGCAAGGATTTCTTGAGATCATGTGCCAAGCCTTCTTCTGAGTTTGTTATATCAAATTTCTTCAGTTCTTACAAGGATTCTGTAACGTAGGAGCCACTGTCTCCAATGTATAGGTGGTGAAAGAAAGTCACAGGAAGGTTGGGTGATTTGCTTCAAGTCAGGCAACTCTTTGAAGTGATGAAGCCCTAAAATGGATTATTACGTTGGCTTCACCTCACTCATTTCTTTTTTTTTTTTAATATTTATTTATTTAGTTAGTTAGTTCTCGGCGGACACAACATCTTGTTGGTATGTGGTGCTGAGGATCGAACCCGGGCCRCACGCATGCCAGGCGAGCGCGCTACCGCTTGAGCCACATCCCCAGCCCTCACTCATTTCTAATACAAGCTTAGCAACAAAATAGTATGTGTTTGTAAGATAACAACATTAATATGAAAGTGATGAAGTGTCGTAAAAGGACAAAAAGGCAAAGAGGTGAAAAGGGTTGGAAAGAAATGAGGAGAGAGAACAATCAAGAGGGAAAGGAGAGCAAAGAACAGTTGTGTGTAAATAGGAGGCTGTGGGTTCCATAGACCAATGGTCTCACCAGTTCCTTCCCTCTCTCCTATTGAGAGGCACCTATTCCAAAGTGGCTACGATGTGTTCAACACTGAATTTTCAGAACCAGAGAGCAGAAACCAACCCTATACTGTGCATATGGTATAGGAAAGAAGACAATGGATGGTGTGGGAGGAAAAGAAAATGAAAAACATTTAGAAAGCTTCCAGTAACAGGCTCTCTGGAGGTAATTTCCATTGCTTCAGAAACCAGAACCCCCACACACACCAAAAAAAAAAAAAAAAAAAAAAAAAAGATTCCCTCCAAATGCTTACAATCAAAATATTCTCTTGCAATTATCTGATATAAATAAAGGGGAAACTGTTCAGCCACCATGAATTCCAACATCAAAGAGGAGCTGGGACGATAATAATCCCATCATTACACCTATGCTTCCCAGGCCTCACCCTCCAAATGAAAAGCCCCTCATGTGTGCCCCTGTTGCACCTGTCCTTTGTCACACTGATGAATGATCATGAGCTGCAAAAGAGAGGAAACTCACAATTGTGGAGATTTTTGTGTTATGTCCCTGAATGGTCCTCACTCCACAAACTAAGCAGAGCTCTTCCAAAGGAATCATAATACACAGAGTATTATGGGATAGAACTAAATAGAGTTTGCCTCTGTGGCTTTTCTTGTTCTAAGTTTCCATTGCTGCCCACTCCCTATGCTCTGTCCTGCCCCCATTTCCCTCATTGATACACTTTTGTTAACTTTATTCAAGCCTGCATACTATTTTAACACTTCAAGATTTTGCTTAGTTCAACTTCAGTCCTTTATATGTTGATATTTAACTTGAAGAATTTCTTATACCCAATTCTTCCAGTACTGCAAGTTACAATTCCCTCTTTTTTCATATATGTCTGAATACTTGTGGGTGTGTGTCAATGAGATATAAATCAATGACAGGTACATGGAAAATAATTTGGGTTTTGCTTTGGGTTTTTTGTTTGGTTTGGTTTGGTACTGGGATTGAACACAGCATTATTTATCACTGAGTTACATTCTTGAATCTTTTATGTTTATTTTATTTATTTATCTGTTTGTTTGTTTGTTTGTTTTTGAAACTAAGTTGCTCAGAGTCTGGCCTCAAACTTGCAATCCTCCTACCTCAGGTTTCTGGGTCACTCAGATTACAGTCATGCACCTCTGAGTCCAGCAGAAAATAATTTCTTAAACTATTCCTAGAAGCAGGGTTTCCTATACTTTCTTATCTTAGCAGTCTCCAATTATTCTGAAACTTTCTTTTTACAAATATTTAGGAGGGAAATTGTATTTTGTACCATAGTCCTCTAACCAATCTCTCACCAACTTTGTCAGCATGAATATTGTTTTCTTTTGCTATCACTCATTCATTCACTCATTTAAAAGATGTTTATTAAACACCTACTGTGAACAACATACAATATTAGGCACTGTGAAATCAATGACCAATAATGGTTGTCTATAGTTCCTTATGTCGAAGTGCTTGTGTTCTGAAAGGGACAAGAAAAAAAAAAGCAAACAACCACCACCACCAAAAACATTAATTACTGGGATAATTCTAAATTGTGACATTGGCAGGCAGGATGTAACACAGTGGTTAAGAAGACAAGCAAGTCTACTTGATTCAAATCCAACTTTGACACATACTTGCTATATGTTTCTCAGTTCTTTCATTCTTAAAAGGGTGATAATAATATAACCTACTATTATGAATAGAATAGTATCTGACACCTAATAAGCAGAATTTTTTAAAAGTTTTTGAAGAAAAACCAAAGATAAACAGAAAGAAGAAGTAACAGGATGATCATTGGAGATCTCTCTGAAGAAGTGATAATGTATTATCCTAGTATCTTAAGAACAAGAGTTGAACATGTAAAATGTTGCAGGGGAAAAGCTTTCCAAAAAAATAGAGTAACATGTAAAAGCCTGCAGCAGAAAAGAGCTTTGTGAATGCAGAGAATAAATATCACAAAGGCTAGAGTTTAATAAGCAAAACAGAGATGGTCCAAGACTATAACAGAATAATAAACAACACTGGAAATACAGGGATTATACTTGCTTTGCAGGTCAGAATGAGGAATCTGGGATTTATCCTCAGGGCAGTGAGAGGTCTTTGGTTATTCTTTAAACTGAAAATAAAATGATTTGGATTGTAAGAATATTTGTATTGTGAGATTAGAGGCATCAAAAGACAGAAGTGGGGCTGGGACTGTGGCTAAGTGGCAGAGCGCTTGCCTTGCACGTGTGAGGCACTGGGTTCAATCCTTAGCACCACATAAAAATAAACAAATGAAATAAGCATGCTTTCCATCTATAGCTACAAAAAATACTTAAAAAAAAAAAGATAGAAGTATACAAGGAACTGGGTTCAGTGACCAATATTGGGGGGAAAAAAAACCTGAAAGATAGGAGTGGGCTCACTAGTTAGGAAGCTATTGCTATTGTCCAGGAGAAAGAAGATGGTGATCTGGACTGAGAATGATGGCATGAAGGAAAATAGATGGATTCCAAATCAATTGGGGCATGGAATGGAAAAGTAGAACTAGAAGGACCTGGTTTGAGATTGGATGTGGAATAAGGAGAAAATATGAATCCTGAGACAATTCTCATTTCTTTTTTTTTCCCCCCCCCTGGGTACCAGGGATTGAACTCAGGGGCACTCAACCACTGAGCCACATCCCCAGCCCTATTTTGCATTTTATTTAGAGACAGGGTGTCACGGAGTTGCTGAAGCTGGCTTTAAATGTGTGGTTCTCCTKTCTCAGCCTCCGGAGCTGCTTGAATTACAGGTGTGTGCCCCCACGCCCGGCCTCATTTCTGACTTGGACAGTTGGAAAGATGGTTTGTCATTTAGTTAGATGGGGCAGATGCAGGAAATTCAGAGTTCTATTTTGTACATATAAAATTTAAGACAGTTTGAAGATATTTGAGTAGAAATGTTAAATTGACCATTTAAGGTAAGGCCAGAATTAAGAAAAGACTTTTTAGGAGGTATAACTATTTTCTTCAGGAAACCATTGGTATTAAATGGAGAGACTGCAGGTGTGGCTCTGTGGTAGAGTGCTTGCCTAGCAGGTGTGTGGGAGGCCATGGGTTCCATCCCCAGCAACACAAAACAACAACAACATGGAAATGAATGGGATCATCTGAGGAAAGGTGTAAATAGAGAAGAGAAGGAGGTCCAGGACCTAGCTCTGAGGTCCTTCTATTGAAAGCTGAAGGTTGAGTTGAAGAGGAAAAGCCAGCCTAGGAAATTAAAAGGGACCAGTCAGTGTAAAAGGAAGAAAATCAAGAGAGAAACATTTGAAAGGGAGCAAAAGTGAGAAGAAAAAAAATTGAAGAGTGAAGCAATGAGCACTAGTA